GATGGTGGCTTCATAAGATTATTTAGGTAGAATTCCTTACTTTTCTACTTTTGGAAGTATTTACAAAGGATTCTTTTTAATACTTACTTGAATGGTTGGGAGAATTCACCAGTAAAGCCATCTGGTCTAAGCTTTTCATTTTGGGGAATTTTTATCTGATTCATTGTCTTTGCCTTTGATAGGTCTGTTCGACTTTATTTATTCTTCAGTTACTTTTGTTGTTTGTGTGTCTCCAGGTATTTGTCACTTTCATCTAGCTTATCCAGTTTGTTGGTATACAATTGCTCATCGTATTTTCTTATAATCCTTTGTAATTCAGTGTGTGTGTGTGTGTGTGTGAGTGTGTGCCTGTGCCTACCACCACACATACAAAAATAATGGTGTTATAGCAACCACTACAGGCAGAATTACTAACCTAACTCCCTTATATAACTCCTATCACTCATAGGCCTGTGCCTGAAGGAGCAGGAGCAAGGACACAGAAATGTCACTTTGAGTTTAAATCAGGTGAAGATGCTGCTGAACTGGGATGTGGTGTACGAATCTGGTGACTCAGGTACTGGCTGAGATGGGGGAAGGTCACAAGATTCCCAAGGATGTGACAAACAGGGAACTGAAGATTAACGGGAAGGAGTGGTTAGTGGGACCACAGAGTCCATCTGAGGAAGAAGGGGTGTTGGGCACCCCAAGGTATCAACATTGGCCTCATCCTGCAGGTCCTTCTGTGGTGGGTCTCGTCTCCACTCCAGGGATGGGCAAGTTGTTGGCTGAGGCCCGCCTGGTGTTGGAGTCTGAGAAGCAGGCAGTTCTGCATGGGGCACACAAGGGCGTGCTGCGAGGAGTCTCCTCTGTCCTGGTCTCAGATGTCATCTCTGCCTTTATGAGCAACAGGGAAACCCAGAACCTCAGCTCTCCCATCACCTTCATCTTCTCCCACCACGTGAGTGCTATTGAGATGGTTCTGTGGATGTGGAAGGGGCCTGGGTCCTGGGCACAGCCTTGCTGCCTAGCTCAGTCTTGAGGTTCTGGGGGGCTCCCTCCTGGGTGCATCATTCCAAAGAAAGCCCTTTGGAAGCCAGCTTTGGATAAGCATTTCTGAGCACCAGGGCCACCGGCTCCCACCTACACTCTCTTCCTACAGTCGATGACCCCTGGGCCAATGCAAAAGGTGTTCTGTGCCTTCTGGGATCACACTCCGGATGGATATGGTCATTGGTCCACCACAGGCTGCAGGATGGTGGCCACTGGAGACATCAGCACCACCTGCCAGTGCACCCACCTCAGCAGCTTTGCTGTTCTCTTGGCTCACTGTGACGTGCAGGTGAGAGCCCTGAGAGGGTTTGCGTTCCATGCCTATTGCTCTGTAACATATTTCCTCACATGTAGGGGCTTTAAAAAACCCAGAAATTTATATCTTGTGGTTTCTTTGCTCGGGCATGATGGGGATGAGTTGCTGTTCTGGGTCTTATAAGCCTGAAGTCAGCCAGATCTGCATTCTCCTCTGCGGCTCAGGTTCCTCCTGTGAGCTCCCTGGTTGTTGGCAGGATTCAGTTCTTTGCAATTGTAGAAGTAAGGTTCCACTGTCTAGCTAGCTGAGAGCAAGGGACCATGCTCAGCTCTAGGAGCTACCTGCATTCCTTCTTTCACAGGCCCTCAAACAGGTATCAGCATTCCTATTTCTTTTTAAAATTTTTATTTATATGAATTTAGCTAACATATATTGTATATTAGTTTCAGGGGTAGAGTTTAGTGATTCATCAGTTGCATACAACAGTCAGTGCTCATTACATGAAATACCCTCCCTAATGCCCATCACCCAGTTACCCCATTCCCCTACCCACCTCCCCTCCAGCAACCTTGGTTTGTTTCCTATAGTTAAGAGTATCTTATGGTTTACTTCCCTCTCTATTTTCATCTTATTTTTTTCCTTCCATTCCCCTATGTTCATCTGTTTTGTTTCTTAAATTCCACATATGAATGAAATCATATGGTATTTGTCTTTTTTAAAAAATTTTTTATTGTTATGTTAATCACCATACGTTACATCATTAGTTTTTGATGTGGTGTTCCATGATTCATTGTTTGTGTATAACACCCAGTGCTCCATGTGTATTTGTCTTTTTTTGACTGACTTATTTCGCTTTGCATAATACCCTCTAGTTCCATCCATGTTGTTGCAAATGAGAAGATTTCATTCTTTTTGAGGGCTGTGTAATATATATACCACATCTTTTAAAAATTTTTATATTATTTTTATTCAATTAATTAACATGTAGTGCATTATTAGTTTCAGAGGTAGAGGTCAGTGGTTCATCAGTTGCATATAACACCCAGTGTTCATTACATCACGTGCCCTCCTTAATGCCCACCATCCTGTTACCACATCCCCCCAACCCACCTCCCCTCCAGCAACCCTCAGTTTGTTTCCAATAGTCAAGTGTCTCTTACAGTTTGTCTCCCTCTCTGATTTCAACTTACTCTATTTTTCCTTCCCTTCCCCTATGATCCTGTTTTGTTTCTTCTTCCACATATGAGTGAAATGATATGATAATTGTATCTCTCTGATTGATTTATTTCACTTAGCATAATTTCCTCTGTTCCATCCACAGTATTGCAAATGGTAAGATTTTATTTTTTTAAAATATTTTATTTATTTATTTTGAGAGAGAGAGAGAGAGAGAGAAATCATGAGCAGAGGGGAAGGGCAGAGGGAGAATCAGGCTCCCCACTGAGCAGGGACTCTGTTGCAGGACTCGATCCCAGGACCCTGAGATCATGACCTGAGCTAAAGGCAGACACTTAACCAACTGAGCCACCCAGGCGCCCAAGATTTCATTTTTTGATGGCTGAGTAATATTCCATTGTGTTTGTGTGTACGTGTGTGTGTGTGTGTGTTTGTATGTGTGTGTACATGTGTATACCTCATCTCCTTTATCCATTCATTGGTCAACAAACATCTTGGCTCTTTCCATATTTTGGCTATTGCGGACATTACTGCCTAAACATTGGGCATGCATGTGCCCTTTCAGATCACTATGTTTCTATCCTTTGGATAAATACCTAGATGTGCAATTAATGGGACATAGGGTACCTCTACTTTTAACTTTTTTGAGGACATTCAATACAGTTTTCCAGAGAGGCTGCACCAGTTTGCATTCCCATTAACAGTGTAAGAGGGTTCCCATGTCTCCGCATCCTCACCAACATCTGTTGTTTCCTGAGTTGTTAATTTTAGCCATTCCTACTGGTGTGAGGTAGTATCTCATTGTGGTTTTGATTTCTGTTTTCCTGATTCCAAGTGATGTTGAGCATTTTTCATGTGTCTGTTGGCCATTTGTATGTCTTCTTTGGAGAAATGTTTGTTCATGTCTTCTGCCCATTTCTAGACTGGATTTTTGGGTGTTGAGTTTGATAAGTTCTTTGTAGATTTTGGATACTAGTCCTTTATATGGTATCTCATTTGGAAATACCTTCTCCCATTCGTAGGTTGCCTTTTAGTTTTGTTGACTGTTTTCATTGTTGTGCAAAAGCTTTTTATCCTGATGAAGTCCCAGGAGCTCATTTTTGGTTTTGTTTCTCCTGCCTTTGGAGATGTGTCTAGCAAGAAGTCAGTGTGGCCAAGGTCAAAGAGGTTGCTACCTGTGTTCTCCTCTAGGATTTTGATGGATTTCTGTCTCACATTTATGTCTTTAATCCATTTTGAGTTTTTTTGTGTATGGTGTGAGAGAATGGTCCAGTTTTATTCTTCTGCATGACGCTGTCCAATTTTCCCACACCATTTGTTTAAGAAACTGTCTTCTTCCCACTGGATATTCTTTCCAGCTTTGTCAAAGATTAGTTGACCATAGAGTTGAGGGTGCATTTCTTGGTTCTCTATTCTATTCCAGTGTATCAGCATTTCTATGCAGAGGACAGTAGAAGTTCCCTCACCTCAAATGCTCAATTTTTGAATCTTTTTCTCCAGGAAGTGTTCAGGGCTTTTGAGAACTCACTGATCAGGCCAGGCCTACCAGGATAAAATCCCTCTCTTAAAGTCAACTGATATAGGATCTGAATTCCATCTGCAAAATCCCTTCACAGCAGCACAAATTGGCATTTAACTGAAAATCTTGAAGAAGCGTGTGTACACCTTCTATCATTCATTGCCAAATTAGAATTCTGCTTATCACAGGGGTCTTCATGACAGGAAGGCTGTAGAAAGTGGCTCTAGGGGCTGTAGAAAGGAAGATTTGGTGGTGGCAGAGGTCAAAGGGAACCAGGAAAGCCATTGAGTGCAGGTGGGATAGGAACTATGTTTGCCTGTTCTGCTGGCCAGGTGAGCTGGTTACTTCCTCTGGATCACCATATCAAAGACTTAGGTGATCTGTAAAATAAAATAAACCCCTGTGAGCTCCAGGAGTTTCTCTTGAGTAAAGACTCTCCTATTCCTCAATTTTTATGGGACTTGAATTAATAAGGTCAGAATCCCATAGAATTTTAGCATTCTGAACCTGGGGGAATTTCCTGAATAACATAACAAATTTACTTGGTTCCCCTGTTCTTGATGTTGCTATGTCAAAAAATGAAAAAAAAAAAAAAATAATGGAAGAGTCATTACTCCAGAACAGGAAAATGTGACTGTGATGTGTTCTTGCTTGTTTTTGCTGGGTCCCAGGAGGAGGATACTGTGCTGGCTGTGATCACCTATGTGGGGCTGGGCCTCTCTCTGCTGTGCCTCCTCCTGGCAGCCCTCACCTTCCGGCTCTGCAAAGCCATCCAGAACACCAGCACCTCGCTCCACCTGCAGCTGTCAATCTGCCTCTTCCTGGCCCACCTGCTCTTCCTCACAGCCATCGACTGGACTGAGATCAAGGTACTGACATTGTCATACGGGAGCCCTTGCTCTGCCCCAAGGGATGCTCAGTTCATGGAGCCATCATGCATTGATACCGTGATAAAATGGCCTTGGGTCCCAGGGAAATTTTGAAGGGTAAGTAGCTTATATCACATTGATAAAACTAGATAAAAAAACTTCTTTTTAAAAAAATTTTATTATGTTGTGTTAGTCACCATACAATACATCATTAGTTTTTGAAGTAGTGATCCATGATCCATTGTTTTCATATAACACCCAGTGCTCCATGCAATACGTGCCCTCCTTAATACCCATCACTGGGCTAACACATCCCCCCACCCCCTTCCCCTCTGAAACCTTGCTTGTTTCTCAGAGTCCATAGTCTCTCATGGTTCATCTCTCCCTCCGATTTCCCTCCCTTCTCCTAATGTCCTCCATGCTATTCCTTATGTTCCACAAATAAGTGAAACCACATGATAATTGACTTTCTCTGCTTGACTTATTTCACTTAGCATAATCTCCTCCAGTCCCATCCATGTTGATGTAAAAGTTGGGTATTCATCCTTTCTGATGGCTGAGTAATATTCCATTGTATATATGGACCACATCTTCTTTATCCATTCATCTGTTGAAGGGCATCTCAGCTCTTTCCACAGTTTGGCTATTGCAGACATTGCTGCTATGAACATTGGGGTGCATATGGCCCTTCTTTTCACTACATCTGTGTCTTTGGGGTAAATATCCAGGAGTGCAATTGCTGGGTCATAGGGTAGCTCTATTTTTAAATTTTTGAGGAAACTCCACACTGTTTTCCAAAGTGGCTGTACCAGCTTCCATTCCCACCAACAGTGTAAGAGGTTCCCCTTTTCCACAACCTCTCCACATTTGTTGTTTCTTGCCCTGTCCATTTTTGCTATTCTAACTGGTGTAAGGTGGTATCTCAATGTGGATTTGATTTGAATTTCCCTGATGGCTAATGACATTGAACATTTTTTCATGTATCTGTTAGCCATTTGTATGTCTTCCTCAGAGAAGTGTCTGTTCATATCTTCTGCCCATTTTTTGACTTGATTGTTTGTTTTTTGTGTGTTGAGTTTGAGAAGTTCTTTATAGATCTTGGATACCAGTCCTTTATCTGTAGTGTCATTTGCAAATATCTTCTCCCATTCTGTGGGTCACCTCTTTGTTTTGTTCACTGTTTCCTTTGCTGTGCAGAAGCTATTTATCTTGATGAAGTCCCAAAAGTTCATTTTTGCTTCTGTTTCACTAGCTTTTGGAGATGTATCTTGAAAGAAGTTGCTGTGGCTTATGTCAAAGAGGTTATTGCATATGTTCTCCTCTAGGATTTTGATGGATTCCTGTCTCACATGGAGGTCTTTCATCCATTTTGAGTTTATCTTTGTGTATGGTGTTAGAGAATGGTAGAGTTTCATCCTTTTGCATGTGCCTGTCCATTTTCCCAGCACCATTTATTGAAGAGACTGTCTTTTTTCCATTGCATATTTTTTCCTGCTTTGTCGAAGATTATTTCACCATAGAGTTGTGGGTCCATATCTGGGTTCTCTATTCTGTTCCATTGGTCTATATGTCTGTTTTTGTGCCAGTACCATGCTGTCTTGGTGATCACAGCTTTGTAATATAGCTTGAAAATTGGCAACGTGATGCCCCCAGCTTTGTTTTTCTTTTTCAACATTTCCTTGGCGATTCGGGGTCTTTTCTGATTCCATACAAATTTTAGGATTGTTTGTTCCAGCACTTGGAAAAATGTCATTGGAATTTTGATCGGGATGGCATTGAAGGTATAGATTGCTCTGGGTAGCATAGACATTTTAACAATGTTTATTCTTCCGATCCAAGATCATGGAATATTTTTCCTACTTTTTGTGTCTTCTTCA